ACGCCACGACGGCACCAGACTGCGCGCAAACTCCACCGAGAGCGACAACCGCCCGCTGCTCGACTCGGCCGCCTCCATCTCGGGCCAGAGCGCCAGGAGCAGAGCCCACAGCAACAACACGCTGCACACGCACTACCGCGGGCCCTCGCAATCCTCGGTCCTCTCCTCCCGCGCCTCGGACGAGTTCGAGTTCCCGGACGCCGTGCGCTCCAGGAGCCACGACACCGCCGACGACTTCGAAGTCGTGTCGCTCTCGCATCCGAGGTCCCGGTCGGCGAGTCGCGGCCCCACGCCCATGCAGAGCATCGACATCCCCAGAGAGGAGGCTCCCGCGTACGAGGATCCTCCGAATTACGAGAGTCCCGTGAGGACGAGGGCGCCGCAGTTGCCGAGTCTGGAGCGCCTGCCCAGTATCCAGATTACGCCTGAGCCGCCGACCGCGGCGGGTGGGGATGTCTGGGGGGCGCCGCAGCGGTAGTCGATTGTGTTTGCTCTTGGGATGATTTAGCGTCTATGTATGTATGTATGGGAAGCGTTGATATCTGTCTGATCTTCACATTTTGATATTTCATGTTGTGCTGTCTATTTTTCTGCAATGGGCTAGCCACATCTCTCTCTCTCTCTCTCTCTCTCTCTCTCTCTCTCTGTCTCGTAATCTCTTGAATCTGCAAACGCGACTACGAAATTACGGATTCATCGCGTGGAAAATATGGCGTCTGGATTTTGGGCATTTCATTTTCTGTGCGCGTAATGGGTTCGGCAATCCAGAGTTGGGGTTAGTCTTGGCTAATCGCTCCTTTGTGTTTTTTCCCTTTTTTGCATATCGGATGGGGAGTTACACTCCTTGCTATATATATCAGGAAAGAGACGTCTGTTGTTGGTTATCCCAAGTGCGGGGTTACGCCGCGTTGGTCTTGATGTAGATGGATAGTGAGGGATGGTTGGTTGGAAGAGACTTGGTATAACGTCGAATGTTAATAGTGGAACATATTGAACCCGATACCGATACCGATATCGCTCAACTCTTCTTATGTTTGACATATCTTTGGGCCTTTTGAAGCCTTTGTAGTCCGCATTTTGGTGGTTGGCAAGTCACCTACGGCATGTTTGGTGAATGGGCTTTCTACTTCCTCTCATGCGTACAAGAATCCTTAGCCCATTCAACAATTTTACATGGTGTTTGAGTGTGCCAGCACTTGTGGAGGTTAGATACGTCTTGTTCCACACCCCATTAAGCTGCCCTACATGTTCGATCTTGGCACAGATTGATCTGGAATCAATAACGATTGGCACTAATTATCCAGTCACACACCATTTGAGCCTGAAATCAGAGTGATTCCTTGCTGCAGCTTCCCCTCATCCAATTGCTTCTGCCAATCGAAACCGCCACTGTGTTGGTGTGGGGTTGGCCCCCGAGCAATGAGCGAGTCCTTATCTTTTGATTCCCGAGTCAAGCATTTTTGATTAGATTGAGGGGTGATGGTCACGTTGACGCCACAGTGTATGGGGGAGCGATCGGGCAGAAGACGTTTCGGAGTGGCTGAAAAGTCCGTCTTATCATTTTCGTCTTGAACCTGAAGGTTGAGGCACGTAGGCGAATGTAGGCAGAGGGTGTGATGAGCAATAAAAGTATTACATGGTCATACTATATGTAACGTACTCGGCAAGGGAGCTGCGCATGCAAGTGAGCTGCGCACCTCAAAATACACCAAAAAATCGACATTTTACAGCAAGCTATCTTAACAATTACGCAATAACAAGTTCTATAAATTTAAATACAAGCTATTGTAGATATATTATAACGTACCTCACGGGCAGTCGGCCCACACGGGCAGTCGGCCCACCCTCGCCAAGACCCCACCAAAATCGCACCCATTTTGGCCCATAATACCACAATCTAGTCCTGCAAAG